TAAATTGTCCTTCCTGCAGGGACCAGAGACCGCGGAAGGGGCCAGGAACCGTTAAGGCTATAAGAAAGGTGTTCCAGCCACAAGGCCAAGGGGCCAGGCTGCCTCCTTACAGCATCAACCGCCGGTGCAGTCCCCTTCCACTTCATTTCACTCTTGACGGCTCTCTCTCAACAACTCTACGAGTCCGATGGCAAAAGGGCAGCCCCCACCCTAGAGCCACGCTTCCCGGGACACCATGTGACTTGGGCGGTGGCTTGTGTTCCTTCTGAAACAAGGCTACAGGTATAAGTTCAAGGACAGAAACGCTTAGCCACGCTTGACCAACCACCCGCTCTGGAGCCCGGTTCTCGCCCATAGCCCTCCCGCAGGAAAGGGTCCCCTCCCGCCTCCTGGGCAGGAGCGACCGGAAGGGGCGGGACTTCCGCACGGACGGGGGCTTCCGCCACCATGGTTTCTCGTGGGGTCGTGGGCATTTTCCTCCTCTCAGCTCTCCCTCTCTTGTGTCTGGAGCTCCGGCGTGGGATCCCGGATCTAGGTAAGTGTTGAGTTTTTTCTTCTTGGCGCTCACGTCTGGGTAGTTTTCACAGGAATGTTGCGTAAAATCACCGCCTCTTCCACTGAGTCGCCTCTGAGAGGCGCTGACTACAATTCCCAGACTGCCTCGCGCCTGCTTCGTACTTCCGGAGCTGGCGCCCATTCGTGAAAGTTTCCCTCCAGAAGTTTTGCGAGTAAGGGCACGAAGGCAGAGATCGCTGGGACGGTCATAGACCGTAGTTTCACGTCGCGGGGGCCGCTTAAAATAAACAGGCCGGGCGCGGTGCCCCACGCCTGTTATCCCAGCACCTTGGGAGGACCAGGCGAGAGGATTGCCCGAGTCTAGGAGTGCGAGGCCAGCCTGGGCAACTTGGCATGACTTCGTCTCTACAGTACATCCAAAAATCAGCCGGGCGTGGTGGCGCGCGCCTGTAGTTCCAGCTACTTGGAAGGCTGAGGTGGAAGAATTGCCTGAGCCCAGTAGGTTGGAGGCTATAGTAAGCCGTAATCTTGCCACTGCACTCCAGCCTGGGCGACAGAGACTCAGCTCGACTCAAAGAAAGGAAGTAAACAGGTTGATAGAATGAAGGCCTTATGAGGAATCTAGGTACAGATTTAAATGATAAGGAGCTACACCCATGACATGCTGGTGGAGTATGGGGAAGGAATGGGGGAGGGGAGCAATATTCCAGGCAAAAGGATTATGACACATTGGAGGAAAAGAGTGAAGGCAATAGTAATCTCCTCGGGTCGCTTCCCACTGTGGAGCTTTTCTGTCCTCTCAATAAATCCTGCTTTCTGGGGTGAGGGGGAACAAAGGCGATTGTGGCTGGCTCAGGGAGAGGGGAGAGTAGCTCAATAATATTTATTGAACACCTGTTACAATCCAAACACTGGATGTTGTTTATTCAGTATCTCATTTCATCTAAACTCCAATCATAGGGGAATAGGCACTATTGTAATCTTACTTTTACAGTTGAGGGAACTGACATTCAGGAGGTTAAGTGACTTCCCTAAGGTTTTAAAAAGATTACTCTGGATTTTGAAGAAGAATGTTTTGGATGGAAACTATAGTGGAAGCAGTGAGGCAAGTTAGGCTTTTGAAGTAGCAAATAGTAATGATGGCCTGGACTAGGATGATAATAGAGGAGATGCAATGTGGACAGAATTGGGATTTATTTTTCTTTTTGAGTCAGAGTCTCACTCTTGCCCAGGCTGGAGTGCAGTGGCACGATTACGGCTTACTATAGCCTCAACCTACTGGGCTCAGGTGATCCTTCCTCCTCAACCTCCCAAGTAGCTGCGACTACAAGGATGTGTCACCAAACTCGATTAATTTTTTAGATTTTTTTTGTAGAGACAAGATCTCGCTATGTTGCCTAGGCTGGTCTCAAACTCCTGGGCTCAATCAATCTTCCCGCCTCAGCCTCCCAAAGTGCTGGAATTAGGACCAGATTTGGGATATTGATGGAGTAAATCAACAGGCTTTATTGATGAGTTGATATTTAGGATGAGGAAAAGAAAAGATTCAAGGATGACTCTTGCATAGGATTGAACAACCCTAGGTTGTCGATAATGCCACAGGTAAAAGAAAAACTGAAAGGAAAACAGTGGAAGTTTGGAGACTCTGGAGTTGATTTTTGGTCATATTATTGATCAGTTTACATATCTGTCTCCTTTTTAAATTCAGATATAAAGTTAGGGACTAGGATGAAATTTAACTTTGTGTATCTCTTCTCTTCTCCTCCTCCTCCTCCTTCTTCTCTCTCTCTCTCTCCACTCTTCCTTCCCACTCTCAAGGAGTCAGATGCCCAGCAGTGTTGCTTGAAAAAGAAATGAAAGTAAAATACTTTTTAAAAATTTACAGGGACTATCCAGATACCTACTCACTCAGGCTATACTGAAATATAACAATACCTTTATCCAAATGATGACAAATGTTGAATTCATTTTGGAAATGATTGAATATGAATTCAACATTTCTCATGTGTTCCCTTGTCTTTATAGCATCCACCCCTCCTCTGCTCATTTAGAATATTGTTTTGCAATAGTATTTGGGTCACTAGTCAATGAGAAAGTAGTTTACTAAGAGTTGCAGAAGGAGCTTTGCTTCCACAATCAACTCTGATCACAGAGAAATACACTTCTTGAGGGCAGAGACTAGATTGAGTTTGTTTTTGTATTCCTAACACTTATCACAGTGCCTAATTTTAATGAAACTAGGCCTAGAGATCTAGAAAAAGCAATTGGCTTCTGGCTGCATCCATCTAGTTCCTGAAATTTTCACTTAATTAACTTCTTTCTCCTAGGTCAGTTGTGAATTGGCTGTTGTTTCCTTTAGTTTCTTGGTAGTGAGCTTCCGAATTATCCATTAGTGGCATTTAAGTCTGTTTTACAACTTCCCTGTGCAGGAGCTGCAGGGCTAGTAATGTATGGAATGATACTTGTGGATACTATTACTCCTTAGGGAAGCTGCTTGATTGGATTCCCAGGGCTGAAAATGGAACTCCCAGATGTGTTTATTCACCTAGACTGTATTTTTTAGACATATATTGAAAACGAGCCTTATCTTTTTCTACTGTGTCAAAGCCTTCATTGCTAATACATTTCACTTGTGAAAGGTCATAAGCTGGAGCCAGTATCCCAATGAACAGCCATTTTAGCATTGCTTGGTTCTGTCATGTTTTTCTAGCAGTTCACTTTAATTTACCCTCATTAGCCAAGGACAGAACAGCTTTCTCCCTCCCCAGCTTGTTTTGTAAACAAGTTAACCTAATCCATCCTTCACAACCCAGTCATGGCAGACCCCATCAACATGGCAGCTATCATGTGACTGACCCACCCTGCCTACTGTCCATCACCTGGTGTTAATGCCTGTGCGTACCTGTCCCCTTCCTGAGGATGTGAAGCAGACCACCACCCAGTCACTTTCCCTCATCAAAGGGGAGGTTTGTTTATTTATTTATTTTTGAGTTGGAGTCTCACTCCTAGCCCAGGCTGGAGTGCAGTGGCACGCTCATGGCCACCCCAGTATCAACCTGCTGGACTCTGGCAATCCTTCCACCTCAGCGTTCCAAGTAGCTGGAACTATAGGTGCGTACTACCACACCCAGCTTATTTTTGGTTTATTGTAGAGATGAAGTCTCACCAAGTTGCCCGGGCTGATCTCGAACCTGCAGGCTCAGGCAATCGCCTCGGCCTTCCAAAGTGCTGGGATTATAGGCTGAGCCACCAGGCCCAGCCTCTCCAAACCTTTATATGATCCGAATGCATACAAGTGCTTGGTGGCTCTAGGAAATCAAGAAGGAGCTAGCTGGGTTCCAGCAGCGGGAAGAAAAAAACCATAGTGCAAGGCGTGGTAGTCGGTGGGAATATGAAATTGGAATGAGAGGTGGCCACTAGAACAAAACCCCAGGAATGCACAGCCTGAGCTATTTAGATGCAAAGGTTAACGGAAAGGGCAGCTTGCTGAGGCTGAGAACTTCCCAGCCCTCAACTGAGTCACAGGTAGTAAGGGTATGGTTGTACCACTGGATCCTGCAAGAGACCAAGTTTCATTGGGGATGGGAGATGTCTGGAAGAGAAAGAATACATCCACAATTAGCCTCGACAGTTCTGTCCACCCTCTGGGGAAAAAACAAACCCCAAATCTTTTTTCTTTTTCTTTTTTGAGTTGGAGTCTCTCTCTGTTGCCCAGACTGGAGTGCAGTGGCATGCTCACGGCCACCCCAGCGTATACCTGCCGGGCTCCAGTGATCCTTCTGCCTCAGCCTTCCAAGTAGCCGGAACTACAGGCGCTCATTACAATGCCTGGCTAATTTGTGTGTGTGTGTGTGTGATTTATTGTAGATACGAGGTCTCACCAAGTTGCCCAGACTGGTCTCAAACCTGCCAGCTTAGGCAATCCACTCATTTCAGTCTTCCAAAGTGCTGGGATTATAGGCTGAGCCACCAAGCCCGGCTACTGCAGTCCAGCCTGGGTGACAGAGTGAGACTCCTACTAAAAAAAAAACCCCAAAAAACATTTTTTTAAATTTGAAAGGTGTATGCACAAATCTAATTCTTTTATATTCTCTTGTGATAGTTGCAAGTTATGTGCTTGTCAGAACAAAAATCAATAGTATGGAGCCTATATCTCACAACTAAATGGTTTCTCTACATACCAATATTCTCGTTTTTTTTTTGGCTTAAACAACAGACATTTATTTTCTCATAATGCTGAGTGCTAGAAGTCCAAGGTCAACGTGCCAGCATAGTCCGTTTCTGGTTGATTTTTGACAAGAGCTTGCATCACGTCTTGTAAGCCTGTAAAATGGCCTCCTCCTTTCTGTGTCCTCACATGGTATTAGGCTCCTTCAAGCAGCTGCAATCAAGAATGCTGGGATGGAATCTTCCAAAGACTTACTCGCCCTTCTCTGGCTCCTGGGAAGAGGGAGATGTGAATAGATGGGGGACGGCAGAAGTAGTCTGCAGTCTGTCTCTGACTTCATGTAGTGCCCTTGCATCATTTTTTAGTACACCAGCTCCAAAATAGCTATGATTCTTGCATGGTGGATCAGGGCCTCACAGTACACACTTCTGTCGCAGCGGCGCCGAGCTCCAAGATGGCTCCAGCTCGGCTCCCGAAGGTACTCGGCCGCCCTGCCGGTGGGCTCCGCCGCGCGGGCGAAGGCCCCCCGCTCGTGGCTACACGGCCGCGCCTCAGGCGAGCGGGCCCACGGCCAGGGCTGCGCGGGGAGGGTGCGGGCTGGCGTGGCCACGCCTCGGCTTCCGCTCCTGGGACCGCCGCCCGCCAGCGTCTATTCTCGGTATTAAACAACTTTTGGAATGGCTGGAGATACCTGGACTTAATCACGTGTTATATTGACCAGCTCCTCAATCAAAAATTAATGCTGTCGAGTTGGGGGAGCTGTGATGCAAAATAAAATAAAAATTATTTCTTCTCTAAGCTTTAGATTGCTGTTTTATTTTTATGAGATAACGTATATTTGCTTTCAGTTAAAAGTAAAACATTTAGGCCTGGTGTGGTGGCTCATGACTGCAATCCCAGCACTTTGAGAGGCTGAGGGTGGGACCAGCCTGGGCAAGGTAGAGAGACCTCCTGTCTACAAAAAAATCAGATGGGTATGAGCTGGGCATGGTGGTGTACTCCTATAGTCCCAGCTACTCCAGAGGCTAAGGTGGAAAAATCCCCTGAGCCCAGGAAGTCGAGGCTGCAATGATTATGCTACTCATTGTACTCCAGCCTGGGTGACACAGATCCCAACTCAAAAAAAGAAAGAAAAAAATGTATAATTGCCTCTGTACTGAACATGAACTTACTTTTTTCCTCTGCATTATTCTCTAAATAATATAGTTTAATAATGTTATATGTAGTATAACAACTATTTACATAGAATTTACATTGTATTAGATCTTAGAAGTGTTGTAGAAAGGATTTATAGTATAGAGGAGTATGCAAATACTTAACCATTTTTTATCAGAGTCTGCATTTTATTTCCGAGAGGGATCCTGGATCCAATCCCCCACAGATACTGAGGGGCAACTATATGTGTTAGTATTTACTAGTAGTATCAAGAAAAGTGTTTTAAATTTTAATTTTTTTTCTTTTGTCAGGAATTAAAGATATCCTGTTGTTGTGTGGCCGAATTTTCTTACTGCTTGCTCTTCTTACTTTAATTATTTCTGTGACTACCTCATGGCTTAACTCATTTGACTCTTCCCAAGTTCATCTAAAAGGTAAGTTTATTTATGCTACACTTTTGTAGTTTTCTACTCAAAAGTCTTTATCTAGAACTTCGCACAATAAGAATCATTTTGCCATTAATTTGAGATGCATAATTTCAGGGGGAGCAATTATTACAATTTTAGTCATGATTGTTTTGAGTCGGGCTATAACATTTTTATTAGAAATTATACATTTTTCTTAAATTTATTTTTGGAAATCATCATTTCTAATTTGTTACATTGTAAATTACTTAATTTTATTTTATTTTATTTTTTTTCTGAGTTAGAGTCTCACTCTGTTGCTCAGACTAGAGTGCAGTGGCCGCTCCCGGCCACTGCAGCCTCGACCTGCTGGGCTCTGGCGCCTCAGCCATCTAAGTAGCTGGATCTACAGGTGCGTGCTGTCACACCCATCTAATTTTTTTGATTTATTGTAGAGATGAAGTCTTACCAAGTTGCCCAGGTGGGTCTCGAACCTGCGGGCTCAGGTAATCCACTCACCTCGGCCTCCAAAAGTGCTGCGATTACAGGCTGAGCCACTGAGCCTGGCCAATTACCTAATTTTAAATTGTTTTTGTGTCACTTAACTGCTGTTTGACTCCTACAGTTTATATCTATTTTACAAAGAGTAAATGTTTCTATCATTAATTTCTAAAGGCTTTTCATCCTAAGTTTTCATTTTATTGTAGCAGTGTTTACTTGGGCACTGATGTCTTATGTATAGTTAAGTGCTTTTAATTTTAAAAAATCATGCTTATTCTTATCTTGGCTGCTGCTTTTTTTTCCTGAGTCAGAGTCTCATTCTATTGCCCAGGCTGGAATGCAGTGACACGCTGCTCACGGCCACTGCAGCCTCTACCTGCTGGGCTCAGGCAGTCCTTCCACCTTAGCCTTCTTGTTTTTGTTTGTTTTTTGGGTTTTTTTTGAGTTGGAGTCTCACTCTGTCACCCAGACTGGAGAACAGTGGCCACTCCCGGCCACTGCAGCCTCGACCTGCAGGGCTCCGGTGATCCTTCCGCCTCAGCCTTCTGAGTAGCCGGAATTCACCTCAGCCTTCTAAGTAGCTGGAACTACAGGTGTGCACCACCACACCCAGCTAATTTTTTGATTGATTGTTGAGATGAGGTCTTGCCAAGCTGCCCAGGCTGATCTTGAACCCATGGTCTCAGGCAATCCTCTCACCTCGGCCTCCCAAAGTGGTGAGATTATAGGCATGATCCACCGTGCCCTTTTGTGAAGTATAGAAGCCTTTTAAGACAATATTGTACTTAGTTTCAGAACAGATGAATCTTAAAACTAAAAGCCAAATCTTTTATATGCTATGAGGAAGAAGCTTGCCTTTAATGAATTTGTCACGTTGTATTTTGTTTTACTGTTTATTTAAATGTAAATAAATAAAAGGAAAATTAGCAGTGTTTAATTTATAGCCCTTTCAAATTAACTATGACTAAAATCATAGTCCTAAAAAGTTATATTATTCAACCCAAATATAAATGACAATATGGATGTTTTAGGGTCTCTTAATTATAAATTTTGCATTTTTTTCTTCTGATGCATTATTTTATCTCATATACTTCGAATGACTCAGTTGGAAAATTAAACAAGAACATTGTAAATTCTCTTAGGAACTTTGTGTTAAATACATTGTGATATCAGGAGATTATTTGCCTGACACTTTAAATTAACAGGTTTGTTTTGTAAATAAGGGAAATGTGCCTTTGACACAGTTTCTGTACTTTAAGTTGTACCTTTGTGTTGTTAGTGTGCAAGTCATTTGGTATTATGGGTTGACAATTTCGGGACATAATCATCACTGAAGGCCAATGCTATCTAATATGTAATATCATTAAGACTGTATATAGTGTCTAATTATTGTATTGCTTTAGAGTCAGGGTCTCATTCCGTTCCTCAAACTGGAGTGCAGTGTCACAATTATGGCTCACTGTAACCTCGGTCACCTGGGCTCAGGTGATCCTTCTGTCTCAGTTTCTATAGTAGCTGAAACTAGGCATGCCACAATACCTGGCTAATTTTTAGGTTTTTTTTTTTTTTTTTTTTTTGTGGAGATGAGGTCTTGCTGTATTGCCCAGGCTGTTCTCAAATCCTGAACTCAGGCAATTCTCCCGCCTGGCCCTTCCAGAGGGCTGGAATTACAGGCGTGAGACACCATGTCTAGCCCAAATTTTCTTTAAATGAGTAAAAGCTCAACTTGCTCACACTTTTGTTTGTGTGAGTTGGAGTCTCACTCTGTCACCCAGTCTGGAGTGCAGTGACATGCTCACAGCCACTGCAGCCTAGACCTGCTGGGCTCCTGCAATCCTTCTGCCTCAGCCTTCCAAGTAGCTGGAACCACAGGTGCACACACCCACACTCGGCTAATATTTTGATTTATTGTAGAGATGAGGTCTCGCCAAGTTGCCCAGGCCGGTCTCCAACCCGTGGACTCGGGCAGTCCTCTCACCTTGGCCTCTCAAAGTGCTGGAATTATAGGCATGAGCCACTGCGCCCGGCCTACATGTTCAATTCAGTTAGTTGATTCCTTGTATGCAGAACCCTTAGATCCAGAGGGCCAACTGTATATACAACATTAATACATGTTCAAGAATTTTTGTTTCAGAGCAGAGCTTTTAGCTTAGATTTTACTTGCGGATTTCTTTGTTTCAACTATCTGCATGTATCTCATTTTCTTTTTTTTTTTTGAGTTGGAGTCTCACTCTGTTGCCCAGACTGGAGTGCAGTGGCCGCTCCCGGCCACCGCAGCCTCGACCTGCTGGGCTCTGGCGATCCTTCCGTCTCAGCCTTCCAAGTAGCTGGAACTACAGGTGCGCACTACCACGCCCAGCTAATTTGTTTTTTTTTTTTAATTTATTGTAGAGATGAGGTCTCACCAAGTTGCCCAGGCGGGTCTCGAACCCGCCGGTTCAGGCAATCCACTCACCTCAGCCTCCCAAAGCGCGGGATTACAGGCTGAGCCACCGAGCCCAGCTTGTATCTCATTTTAATTACTTGAAAAACTGTATTTTTGAAGATTCTTATCTCTCCCAAAATGTTAAAATCTACAAACAATTTTCAGAGAAAATACTATCCAACATATTGATACTTGGGAATTAAAAGCACTTTTGTTTTGATGTCTTAGAAGAAGAAGAGCAGAATGAGAAAAAGCAAAAACTGGTGAGAGAAAAACAACAAGAGGCCCAGGGTGAAAAGGTAAAGCATGATTTTTAGAGAGTATATAGAAGGAGAATACAAAAATATCTGGGGCATTTAAAATTAAGGTCTGTTACTTTCTATGTTTATGCTAAGATTTTAAAAAAATTATTACTGAGGTCAAATTTTTATGACATAAAATTGATTTTTTTTTTTTTGAGTTCGATGGAGTCTCACTCTGTCACCCAGACTGGAGTGCAGTGGCTGTTCCCGGCCACCGCAGCCTCAACCTGCTGGTTTCTGACGATCCGTCCACCTCAGCCTTCCAAGTAGCCAGAATTACAGGCATGCACTACTGTGCCCGACTGACCTTTTGACTTATTGTAGAGATGAGGTCTCGCTGCCCAGGTGGGTCTTGAACTCACGGGCTCAGGCAATACCCACTCACCTCAGCCTCCCAAAGGCACGGGATTACAGGCTGAGCCACCGAGCCCAGCTAAAATTGATAATTTTAAAGTGCACAATTCAGTGGCTTTTAGTACATTCACAGTGTGCAACTACCACCTCTAACTGGTTCCAAAACATTTCTATCATCCCAAAAGAGAATTCAATACCCATTAAACAGCCACACCTCCTAACCCTGCTCCCATTCTCTGGCAAACACCGATGTTCTTTCTGTATGTATGGATTCACTTATTCTAGATATTTCCTATGAATGGACTAGTACATGTGGTCTTTTGTGTTGGACTTCTTTGATTTAGCATAATGTTTTCCAGGTTCATTTGTGCTGTAGCATGTGTCAGTACTTTATTCCTTTTTGTGGGTGAATGTCCCTATATTCCTTTGTATGGATAAGCCAAAATTTGCTTATTCATTTATTCATTGATGAACATTTGAATTATTTCCACCTTTTGGCTTTTGTGAATGGTGCTGCTATAGACATTTGTGCACAGGTATTTATTTGCGTATCTATTTTCAATTTGGGGTATATAAACAGGAATGGAATTTTTGTGTCATATGGTAATACTTTTTTTTTTTTTTGAGTAGGAGTCTCACTCTGTTGCCCAGGCTGGAGTGCAATGGCACGCTCACGGCCACCACAGCCTTGACCTGCTGGGCTCAGGTGATCCTTCTGCCTCATTCTTCCAAGTAGTTGGAACTACAGGCACATGCCACCACACCAAACTAATTTTTGATCTGTTATAGAAAATTCACTCACCTCAGCCTCCCAAAGCACAGGATTACAGGCTGAGCCACCGAGCCCGGCTCCTTTGCCCATTTTTTAACTACGTTTGTCTTCTTCTTCTTTTTTTTTTGAGTTGGAGTCTCACTCTGTCACCCAGACTGGAGTGCAGTGGCCACTCCCGGCCATTGCAGCCTCAACCTGCTGGGCTCCGGCGATCCTTCCGCCTCAGTCTTCCAAGTAGCTGGAACTACAGGCACGCGCTACCACGCCTGGCTCATTTTGATTTATTGTAGAGATGAGATCTCACCAACTTGGCCAGGCGGGTCTCGAACCCGCGGGCTCAGGCAATCCACTCACCTCAGCCTCCCAAAGGCGTGGGATTACAGGCTGAGCCACTGAGCCCGGCTACGTTTGTCTTCTTAGTTGTTGTTGAATTATAAGAATTCTTTATATATTCTGGACCCTTAATCAGATGTATGATTTGCATATATTTTCTCCCATTTTGTGGACTATATTTTTAACTCTTGATAGTTTCCTTTGATGCAAAAAAAGTTTTTAATTTTGTAGAAATGCAGTTTATCTGTTTTTTTTTCTCCTGTTGCTCATGCTTTTGGTGTCACATTTCAGAATCCATTGCCAAATATGAAGTTATGAAGATTTAGTTCTGTGTTTTCTTCTTTTTTTTTTAAAAATAGAGATGAGGTCATTGTGTTTCTCAGGCTAGTCTCAAGTGATCTTGCCTTGGCCTCCCAAAGCACTGGGATTACAGGAGTGGGTACTATGCCCAGCCTGTGTGTTTTCTTAGCGTTGTGTAGTTTTAGTTCTTTTTTTGTTTTGTTTTGAGTTGGAGTCTCACTCTGTCGCCCAGACTGGAGTGCAGTGGCCGCTCCCGGCCACCGCAGCCTCGTCCTGCTGGGCTCCAGCGAAACCTTCCAAGTAGCTAGAACTGCAGGTGTGTGCTACCATGCCCAGCTAATTTTTTGATTTATTGTAGAGATGAGATCTCGCCAAGTTGCCCAGGTGGGTCTTGAACCCGCGGACTCAGGCAATCCACTCACTTCAACCTCCCAAAATGCTGGGATTACAGGCAGAGCCACCAAGTCTGGCCTAGTTTTAGTTCTTATATTTAGGTTGTTAGTCCATTTTGAGTTAATTTTATTTGTTTGTTTGTTTGTTTTTTTGAGTTGGAGTCTCACTCTGTCACCCAGACTGGACTATAGTGGCTGCTCCCAGCCACTGCAGCCTCGACCTGCTGGGCTCTGACAATCCATCCGCCTCAGCCTTCCAAGTAGCTGGAACTACAGGCACGCGCTACCACGCCCGGCTAATTTTTTTGTTTATTGTAGAGATGAGGTCTCGCCAAGTTGCCCAGGCGGGTCTCGAACCCGTGGGCTCAGGCAATCCACTCACCTCAGCCTCCCAAAGGCGTGGGATTACAGGCTGAGCCACCGAGCCCGGCTATTTTGAGTTAATTTTATATATGATGTGTGGTGGGGTTCAACTTCATTGTTTTGCGTATGGCTATTCACTTGTCCCTGTCTCTGTTTTGTTGGAGTTTTTTTGAGTTGGAGTCTTACTCTGTTGCCCAGGCTGAAGTGCAATGGCACGCTTGTGAACATCTTAGCCTCAATTTACTGGGCTCAGGTGATCCTTATGCCTCAGCCTTCCAAGTGGTTGGAACCAGAGGTGCATGCCACCATACCCAGTTAAATTTTTTTATTTATTGTAGAGACGAGGTCTCTTCACTATGCCCAGGCTGGTTTTGAAGCCCTGGACTCAGGCAGTCTTCCCATCTCTGCTCTTCAAAGTGCTGGAATTACAGGTGTGAGCCACTGCGCCTGGCCTCTGTTTTTTATGTTGGAGACTTTCCTTAATCATCCGATAATCCTTGGCTCGGCCCTTTCATATTTAAGATTGATGCACTAAAAAGCTAGTTTGTGATTACTGGATGTGTACGTTGTAAAATTGTGTCAGGCTTTATCCGTAAGATTTGGTGTTTTTTACTATTTATAAGTTGTACCCCAATAAAAAAGAAAATAAAGCGAATTGGAATTTCTGTGTATGTGGGTCGAACTTGACAGGTTGTCTGCTGATGGACTTCACTGTAGAATGACTGAGCAGTAATGTAGCTTTCTCACTGTCTGTTGGCTCCTCTTATGCAGTTCACCTTCTCTAGAGAAGACACCTCCACTCTCCTACCTTGTGCGTTAGAGCCTGGCTGCCACCAATCTTAGCCGAGAGGGGAGGAGGCCAGGACTCTTACCTTTCAGCATGTGCATTTTCACATACTCTTTTTTAGTTTTCCCGCCTGCTTTCTGCTAGACCTGGGATCTTTCACTATGCAGCCTCTCTGGTTCTTTTTTTTTTGAGTTGGAGTCTCACTCTGTTGCCCAGACTGGGGTGTAGTAGCAGGCTCCCGGCCACCGAAGTCTCAACCTGCTGGGCTCCAGTGATCCTTCCGCCTCAGCCTCCTAGTAGCTGGAACTACAGATGTGTGCTACCACGCCTGGCTAGTTTTTGATTTATTTTAGAGACGAGGTCTCGAACCCGCAGGCTCAGGCAATCCTCTTGCCTCAGCCTCCCAACATGCTGGGATTACAGGCTGAGCCACTGAGCCTGGTCGCCTCTCTGGTTCTTTTTCCCAGAGAATAAGTCCCGGATAATAAATTCTCCATGCTACACTGTGTGTGGTAGGGTGGTGGGAGATCTAATTGTGCTTTTATTCCCCTCCCCCTGCCCACCCTCCTTTTTTCATATGAACCTCAGGTGCAGGAATGGGAATGAGCATAATTCTTGGTTCACTCTAAACTCACCCTTGGTTCATGCATAGCTTCCTCTGCCTTTCGCCATTTTTAGCTCTGCATCTCACCCCATGACCTTGCCCTGATGTCTGGCATCTCTTCTTGATCTGTTCCAGGGCCTGGGGAGGGCATTGACTTTCTTCTTGTTGATGTCTTCCTTGCAGGCACTTAGTTTTCCGAGTCTGTTGTATCGTTGTTTCTTCTCAACCTTTCTTCACAGAGTAGTTTGGGGTTATAGTATTTCTTTGTTTCATCAGTGATGGAATTTGGGTTTCTATTTCTTGTTCCCTTAGTAGTTTGGGGGGTGATTTTCAAGAGGAGAAAAGAGGCAGAAATAGTTTCATTTTGTCATCTTAAAATGAGAAGTCTCCAGGGATTTGCTTTTGTTTATTTATTTATTTATTTTGAGTTGGAGTCTCACTCTGTTGCCCAGGCTGGAGTGCAATGGAGTGCTCACAGTCACCACAGCCTCTACCTGCTGGGCTCAGGTGATCCATCCACTTCAGCTTCCTGAGTTACTGGGACTACAGGCAGACACCACTACACCCGGCTAATTTTTTGGTTTATTGTAGTGATGAGGTCTTACCAATTTGCCCAGACTGGTCTCATACTCATGGGCTCAGGCAATCCTCTTGCCTCCGCCTCCCATAGTGCTGGGATTTCAGGTGTAAGTCACTGCGCCTGGCTTCAGTTTTTTTGATTCCAAAAGTATTTTCTACTTTACCATGATAGGCCTATACAGTCAACACCCTCCCAAACACATCCATGCCTGCTAGGCCCAACAGCACAAGAAGGCATCATGTCTTGAACAAACTGCGTAGACTTTAAGCCTCTGGAAGTCAGGGACCAGGTCCTGTGTTCCTAGTAAATTTCCGTTGCACAGAAAACAAGATTAAAGAATGTATAGGCACACTGCTGTACAAGTCTGGAATGCTTGTTTTTATTTGCATGCCGTACAGCTGTGAATTTTTTTTTTTTTTTGAGTTGGAGTCTCACTTTGTCTCCCAGGCTGGAGTGCAGTGGCACACTTCCAGCCACCACAGCCTCGACTGCTGGGCTCAGGCGATCCTTCAGCCTCAGCCTTCTAAGTAGCCGGAACTACAGGCGCGTGCTAATAACCATGCCCAGCTAATTTTTTGATTTATTGTAGAGACGCGATCTCACCATGTTGCCCAGGCTGGTCTCAAACCCATAGGCTCAGGCAACCCTCTCGCCTCGGCCTCCCAAAGGGCTGGGATTGTAGCCCACTGCGCCCACCCAAATGTGAATTTTTTAAGAGTGCTGCAAAGGTGGAGGATGCTGCTTTTTTTGCCAAAATTGAGTGCGCATGAACAATTTCTTACCTGGTTCTTATTTACAACTTTATAGACCATGTAAATTTTTAGGAACATAAATGTATAGTAACAACACCTAATTTGTGTTTTTTGAACAGGCCAGCAGATACATAGAAAACGTTTTGAAACCTCACCAGGAAATGAAATTGAGAAAACTGGAAGAACGCTTTTATCAAATGACTGGTGAAACCTGGAAGTTAAGCAGTGGTCACAAACTCGGGGTTAGAAAATATTCTCATTTTACATTTTGAATCCTATTATTACTTATGTTTCCTTTTACGAACATTATTTTTTTAATTTGAAAATACTATGAAGTCTGTTTTTTTAAAGAGTCTCTCTTGATTATTCTGTCAGTTTCTAGTCAGCATATTTGTATGTCAAATGATTAAGTGTTTTTTAGTGCCTAAAGTGCATCTAACTTAGATCCTTAGAAAGCTGTAGCATAAGGTAGTCTTGAGAAAACTGTTGAATAAATCAGTTTTCTCATATGAGGAAATTCTGACCATTCCTCAATTAAGATCTCCAAGGTGTTAAGCTCACATTATATTCATTATATTTGGCTCTGTTTTTTCTGTTTGTTTGTTTGTTTGGTTTTTGGAGTTGGAGTCTCACTCTGTCGCCCATACTAGAGTGCAGTAGCACGCTCCCGGCCACAGCAGCCTCGACCTCTGCTGGGCTCCGGTGACCTTTCCACCTCAGCCTTCCAAGTAGCTGGAACTACAGGCCTTTGCCACCATGCCCGGCTAATTTTTTGATTTATTTTAGACACGAGGTCTTGCCATGTTGTCCAGGCTGGTCTCAAACCCTTGGGCTCAGGTAATCCTCTCCTGTGCACTTCCCAGAGTGCTGGGATTACAGGCATGAGCCACCATACCCAGCAGATCTCTTGATCCTATTCCTCATGCTTCTTTCACCAAATTTTCTTGGATAAAGAAGGGGAATAAAACCCTACCAAATGGTAAACATTTTAGTCTGATAAAGTGAATTTTTTCTCTTAGAAGGTTAGTAGATATGGAAGACAGGAGTTATTGAACAAGTAGGTATATATTGGAGAATTTGACACTTAAGTAAATCATTTTGCTAAGGGAAAAAGTATTAATAGGTAATATTAATAGAGTAATCTTTATGATTTTTGAAATAAAATTCTTTGCCTCCTAAAGTGATTAATTAAAATGGAAGATCAAAGTTTGAATTTGAAAACGAAAATATGCTTATATATAGCAAGATACTAAGGCCACCTTCTGCTATGGAAGTTTTGCACAATCATATGTACATGGACGTGTTTTTATGTAATGTTCTATTTTCAGTCTTTTCAGCATAATCCCTTGCACTGCCTTGCTTCCTTTGCTGAAAGGAGGGGAAGGTATAATTCAGTCTGTTTTCCTTCTGTCCTACTGAGAAACTTGGGGGTCAGTCAAGATGGAAAGGGCCCTACTCTCTTCAGAGGGAACCCCAGAACTCCAAAATTGGATAAGGATAGTTTTTCTTTTCGTTTTTTTCATTTGGAGTCTCACTCTGTCACCCAGGCTGGAGTGCAGTGGCACACTTATGGCCACTGCAGCCTCAACCTGCTGGGCTCAGGGGATCCTTCTGCCTCAGTCTTCCAAGTAGCTGGAACTACAGGTGTGTGCCACCTCGCCCGGCTTATTTTTTGATTTATTATAGAGATGAGATCTCACCAAGTTGCCCAGGCGGGTCCTGAACCCCTGAGCTCAGGCAGTTCTCTCACTTTGGCCTCCCAGAGTGCTGGGATTACAGACTTGAACTACCATGCTCAACTTCTTTTTCTTTTTTCTGAGACAGAATTTCATTCTGTCTCCCAGGCTGGAGTGCAATGGCATAATCACAGCTCACCGCAGCCTCAAACTCCTGGGCTCAAGTGATCCTCCCGCCTCAGCCTCCTAAGTAGCTGGGACTACAGGCACATGCCTCAACACCTCACTAATTTTTTTTTTGTAGAGATGGGGTCTCACTTTGTTGCCCATGCTGGCCTCAAACTCTCTGCCTCAAGGGATCCTCCCACCTCAGGCTCCCAAAGTGCTGTTATAGGCATGAACCACCTTGCCCAATTAGATAAGAGTAGTTTCTACACAGCCTCTGTGTTTTGTTGTCCAAGGAGATAATACTTTAATTTTCTTGGTCTCATAATAGCTTGCTTATATTTTTCTTCTGACATGTCATTTGTGTAAAAAGCAAATCATTATGAATAGAAAATAAAACTGAAAAGAAGCATCTCTTGAGAAATTATCTCTTGTTTGTTTTTGTCTAGGGAGATGAAGGTGCAAGTCATACATCTTTTGAAACCTCAAACAGAGAAGCAGTAAAGAGAGAGAACTTACCCAAATCTCTTACTGAAGTTCTACCACCTGCCGAACAGCGCATGCGAAAGGAGGTTCAGTTCCATGCCTCTCCCTGAATTGTATCACTGTGCAGTAGGAGTATTATTATTATTATTAGTAGTAGTAGTAGTAGTAGTATTTTGAGTCAGAGTCTCACTCTGTTGCCCAGGCTAGAGTGCAGTGGCACGCTCACGGCCACTGCAGCTACAACCTGCTGGGCTCAGGCAATCCTTCTGCTTCAACCTTCTAAGTAGCTGGAACTGCAGGCGTGTGCCATCACACTCAGCTAATTTTATTTTATTTTTTTTTAGTTGAATCTCACTCCGTCACCCAGGCAGGAGTGCAGTGGCATGCTCATAGCCACCCTAGTGTAAACCTCCTGGACTCTGGTGATCCTTCCGCCTCAGCTTTCCAAGTAGCCAGAACTATAGGCGTGTGCTACCACACCTGGCTAATTTATTATTTATTTATTTATTTATTTTTAAATTTTTTTGAGTTGGAGTCTCACTCTGCTGCCCAGACTGGAGTGCAGTGGCCACTCCCGGCCACCACAGCCTCGGCCTGCTGTGCTCCGGCGATCCTTCTGCCTCAGCCTTCCGAGTAGCCGGAACTACAGGCACACGCTACCACACCCGGCTGATTTTTTGCTTTAATGTAGGGATGAGGTCTTGCTACCAGGTGGGTCTCAAACCCGTGGGCTCAGGCAATCCACTCACCTCAGCCTCCCAAAGCACGGGATTACAGGCTGAGCCTTGACCAAGCCTGGCTTCTTTTTTATTTATTGTAGAGATGAGGTCTTACCAAGTTGCCTGGGCTGGTCTCAAACCCGTGGACTCAGGCAATCCACTTGTCTCGGCTTCCCAAAGTGCTGGGATTACGGACTGAGCCACCGAGCCCAGCCTAATTTGTTAATTTACTATAGAGACAAGGTCTCACCAAGTTGCTTAGGCTGGCCTTGAACTCCTGAGCTCAGGCGGTTCTCTCACCTCTGCTTCCCAAAGTGAGTGTTGGGATTACAGGCGTGAGCCACCGCACCCAGCAGGAGTATTATTTTCTGGGTGAGATGGTATATTAGGGGACAGTCAGGACTAGCCTTTAATTCCCATGGTATCTTCCCACTACCTTACAAAGTGATCACCTTCATGAAGAATCACTTACCCTGTTTAATATTAATATGAATGATCTACACCAAACTTCGAGGGAAGCTGTAAAGCTAAATTATACTGGTTTAGAAAATACTAATTTCTTTCTTTTTTTTTTTTTTTTTGAGTTGGAGTCTCACTCCGTTGCCCAGGCTGGCGTGCAGTGGCACGCGCGAGCATGGCCACCCTAATGTCAACCTGCTGGGCTCTGGCAATCCTTCTGACTCAACCTCCAAGTAGCCAGAACTACAGACACGCGCTACATCGCCCAACTAATTTTTTATTTTATTGTAGAGATGAGGTCTCGCCAAGTTGCCGGGGCTGTTCTCAAACCCGCAGCCTCAGGCAGTCCACTTGCCTCGGGCTCCCAACGTGCTGGGATTACAGGCTGAGCCACCGAGCTCAGCCTTCATTTCTTTTTGAGGAAGTAATTTCATTATGTAGAAATGAAAAATGTAATGTTTACCAAGGAAAATATTCCTATTAGGTAGCTTAAGACACCATTAAGCCATGTTTTGTGAATGTTTGATATCTGTTACTAACATGAGTATATAATTTTCCTCACTGACTCTTCTAGGGAGCAGGTTAAGTATCCACTTTGGAATAGTGCCCAGGTTCATTATACATGCTTTTCTTTGAAATCTTTAATCCTTAAATTGATCCTGATTTTGGGCTGGAAAATATTAGAACTAAGAAATCTTTACTTACAGACTCTTAGGGGAAGCTGGGAGGCTATCCATTCCCTTTTAGTAGTTTCTAGTATCTTGCTTCTCAATCTGGAATTCCACGTCTCTTAGTGGAGATTGAGGATGGGAATTGGGTTACTGAACTATTACTAACATTTCAAAAAGATCTAATGAACTAAATGGACTAACACCAAATTCAAGTTTCCTTGCTTTTGGTTGATAAACCCTGCCTTGTGCTGATAGTATGTTTTGGTTGACAGTCACATATGCCTTTGATAACAAAGGAAAACAAATGGATTATTTAGTAAATGCAAGTAATGTTTGTCAGATAAAATGTTATAAACCATAGAGCCTATGGTATTAAAATATAAACAGGGTCTCTGGAGGTGAAGTAAGTGGTAAGGGTTGTTTTAATTAGAGAAAATGGTCTGGATATCGGGTTTCTTAATAGATGAACAGAAATAGGGAAATGTGAACACATGACACAAGCAACCAAAGTGAGTAGTTGCAAGCATTCCCCTTGGAGTGTGGGATATGTAATCCTGTTAAAACGTGTATATGTGTGAACCTAAACAATTTGGGGGGTCTTACTGAATTTAATTCATATTAATATTTATTCTCTGTGTGTGTGTATGTATATATATTTTTTTGAGTCAGAGTCTCACTCTGTTGCCCAGGTGGAAGTGCACTGGCACGCTCACAGCTACCACAGCCTTAACTTGCTGAGCTTAGGCGATCCTTCCGTCTCAGCCTTCCAGGTAGTTGGAACGTAGGGCATGCTCTATCACACCCAGCTAATTTTTTTTATTTATTGTAGAGATGAGGTCTTGCCATGTTGCCCAGGCTGTCTTGAACCCGTTTGCTCAGGCAATCCTCTCACCTCCGCCTACCAAAGTGCTGGGATTATAGGCATAAGCCACCATGCCCGGCTATATATATATACATACACATATATATATTTATGTATATATATATATATATTTTTTTTTTTTTTTTTGAGGGACAGGGTCTTACTGTGTTGCCCAGGCTGGAGTGCATGACATGATCATAGTTCATAGCAGCCTTGAATTCCTGGACCCAAGTGATCCTTCTGTCTCAGCCTTCCAAGTAGCTGGGACTACAGGCATGAACCGCATCCAACTTCCTTTTTTTTTTTTTTGAGTCAGGTTCTCACTCTGTCACCCAAGCTTGAGTGCAGTGGCACAATCATGGCTCACTGCAGCCTCGATCTTCTGGGCTAGGTGATCCTTCTGCCTCAGCTTCCTGAGTGCTGGGACTACAGGTACATACCACCACGCCTAGCTAAATTATTGATGTTTTGTAGAGACAAGCTCTCACTGTGTTGCCTAGGCTTGTCTCAAACTCCTGAGCTCAAGCAATCTTCCTGTCTCGTCCTCCTAAAATGCTGGGATTACAAGCATGAGCCACCATCCCAGCCAACCTGTTTTTTTTTTTTTTTTTAAATAGGAGTCTCACTCTGTCACCCAGGCTGGAGTGCAGTGGCCTGCTGCCAGCCACCGCGGTCTCGACCTGCTGGGCTCAGGTGATCCTTCCGCCTAAGCCTTCCAAGAAACTGGAACTACAGGCATGCGCCACCATGCCCAGCTAATTTTTTGTAGAGATGAGGTCTTATCAAGTTGCCCAGGCTGGTCTCAAACCTGTGGGCTCAGGCAGTCCTCTTGCCTTGGCCTCTCAAAATGCTGGGATTGCAGGCTTGAGCCACTGCGCCCAGGTTTTTTGTTTTTTTGGGTTTTTAGAGTAGGAGTCTCACTCTGTCACCCAGGCTTGAGTGTAGTGGTACGTTCACAGCCACTGCCTCAACCTGCTGGGCTTAGGCGATCCTTCTGCCTCAGCCTTCCAAGTATCTGGAACTACTGGTGCGCATGACCACACCTGGCTAGTTTTTTTATTTATGTGGAGACGAGGTTTCACCCAGTTCCTCGGCCTGGTCTTAAACCCCTGGGCTCAGGCAGTCCTCTTGCCTCTGCCTCCCAAAGTGCTGAGATTATAGGCGTGAGCCACTGTGCCCGGCTCTTGTTTTTTAAACAGTACCTTTTTATATATTATCTTGGAGCCTCATAAAAAGAAAATTCTTTAAATGTGTATAGATCGGTAGCTGTCATCTCAAATCTTATTTTTATGATTTATTGCTAGCTCAGAATTGCTTACCTGAACATGTTTATTAATTAAGCTCTTATTTTCATTGTAAACTTTTTATAATATATATTGAAAGAAAAGATTTCAGTAAGCTTAGATGTGTCTAAACTCTATACTAAAAGGAACTCTTCTCATTGTGATTATTTTTTGCTTTTGAAAATGTTCATTCAATTCCAGCTATTTGGAAGGTTGAGGCGGAATGGTCACCAGAGCCCAGCAGGTCGATGCTGGGGTGGCCATGAGTGTGCCACCGTACTCCAGCCTGGGCGATAGAGGGAGACTCCAACTCAAAAAAAAAAAAGAAAAGAAAATGTTTATTCCGCTGGGCACGGTTACTCACGCCTGTAATCCCAGCACTTTGTGAAGCCAAGGTGGGAGGATTGCCTAAGTCCAAGGGTTTGAGACCAGTCTGGGCAATTTGGCAAGACCTCATCTCTGCAATAAATCAAAAAATTAGTTGGGCAGTAGCTTGTGCCTGTGGTTCCAGCTACTTGGAAGGCTGAGGTGGAAGTATCTTCTGAGCCTAGCAGGTCGAGGCTGCGGTGGCTGTGAGCATGCCACTGTACTCCAGCCTGGGCAACAGAGTGAGACTCTGATTTAAAAAAAGGAAAAGAAAAAAAAAGTTAATTCTTTTAACCAATACCTTTTTCTTTAGGTTCTTGATTTACCTGAAGAACCTCCTGAAACAGCTGAAGAAGTAAGCTTATATTTTTCTTTGAAAATTAAATTTATTTTATTTTCTTTAAGATCAGTTGAATGTATCTTATTTAAACTTGGGTTTAGAAAGAGAGATCATTAAATTATTATAATGAGGTCTTATTTTGAATATAGTATAATGTCAGATTTCTCAGTGTGAGTCCCATTTTGAAATCCTGCTGTTGACTGAGTTGTCTTTTAAAACTCACCCACTGCCTCTAGGATGTGCATGGCTTTTCCAGAACTTTAGGTCAGCAATGAGTTACTTATTGAAATGGAATCTACATAGGAGATGACTTCAAATGGTTCTCCTTTTCAAAAAGAGAAAATTAAACCAGCAGTTACTTTATAGATGTTTTAATTTGCGAATGGCTTGCTGATTGGGGCACAGGGCTGGGACTGACCCCCCACTCTGCCTTCCTCCAAGCTGCTTTGTCATTGTGGTGCCTTCCTGGCATTGGCCAGCTTAGTGACAGATGCTTCTCACCTGTGGGGGAGCACGTGTCTTGAAAGCCATTAAGTCACTGGCACAATAAATTCGGAAGGAGTTCTCTTATCGCTTTCCACTTCTTGGGGCTCAGCTGGAGGGCAGTGGCATACTCCCAGCCACCACAGCCTCTACCTGCTGGGCTCAGGCGATCCTTCCACCTCAGCCTTCCAAGAACTACAGGCACGCACCTCCACGCCTGGCTAATTTTTTGGTGTATTGTAGAGATGAGGTCTCACCAAGTTGCCAGGGCTGGTCTTGAACCCCATAGACTCAAGCAATCCTCTCACCTTGGCCTCCCAAAGTGCTGGGATTATAGGCATGAGCCACCGCGCTCGACCTGGAAACCATTTTTGAAGCAGCCGTGAGAGCAACTGGGAGCATCTGACTTTTGTCAACATATTTGTAACATTTAAGTTAGTAGCCTGGGTATCCGAGGAAAATCCAAAAGTCACAAAGAGATAGAGATGATGAAATGTGCAACCCAGACACTGAACCCTCAGCGTTAAAACAATTTTTCAAAAGACATCTAATTCCTTCATTATACTCAACAAGCTCATGCCTGCGATATGTCTGTACTGCCTCTCGTTTCTCATCTAGCTCTGAGTTGGTATCTATGACAACCATTTTATAATACAGGAGTAATTAAATATAGCTTAGGTTTGACAGGGAATGCCTTTTGTGAATTTACCCTGGCTTTGAAGCATATATTACTCCCGTAGAACAGTTTGTTACCAAAGGTCCATGGATTACCGATATCAAGTTGTCAGTGATCCCTTGAAATAGTACTTTGTTATGCTGGGCTCAGTGGCTCAGCCTGTAATCCCGTACTTTGGGAGGCTGAGGTGAGTGGATTGCCTGAGCCCGCGGGTTCGAGACCCGCCTGGGCAACTTGGTGAGCCCTCATCTCTACAATAAATAAAAAAAATTAACCGGGTGAGGTAGTGCGTGCCTGTAGTTCCAGCTACTTGAAAGGCTGAGGCGGAAGTATTGCTAGAGCCCAGCAGATCGAGGCTGCAGTGACCGGTAGTGGCCACTGCACTCCAGTCTGGGTGACAGAGTGTGACTCCAACTCAAGAAAAAAAAAAAAAGTTTTTTTGTGATCACAGATAGAAGGGCAGTGTTTTTTTGTTTTTTTGTGAGCACAGATAGAAGGGCAGTGTTTTTCTTTAGTTTCACAGGACTGTGATCCTTAAAAGGTTAAGAAACTTCTGGCTGGGTGCAGTGGCTCAATCCTGTAATCCCAACACTTTGGGAGGCCGAGGCAAGAGGGTTGTCTGAGCCCAGGGGTTCGAGACCATCCTGGGCAACTTGGTGAGACCTCATCTTTACAATATATCAAAAAATTAGTTGGGCATGGTAGTGTGTGTGGTCCAGGTCCTTGGAAGACTGAGGCGGAAGGATTGCCTGAGTCCAGTAGGTTGATACTGGGGTGGCGGTGAGTGAGCCACTACACTCCAGCTTAGATGTTAGAGTAAGACTCTGACTCAAAAAAAAAAAAAAAGAAAGAAACTTCTGCAACAGAGAGATTGGTGCTATCACTGGTGGGCAATGTTGCTCTCCTTCTGTTACTTAGAGTCATTCCAGTTTATTTTCTCTCTACCTTTTTTCCAGCACTTCCTGCTTGCATTTGAATACTTCTCACTTGGACTGATGCCCCGGGCAGGTGGAGCCAGGATTGGAACCCTGGCCTTCAGGCTGTGGCCAATTCTCTTCCCTGTTCACTCTCTAAGCAATACTATCCCTATTTTACTCTCCCTGATCTAATTTTTTATTCTGTGTGCTCTGTTTTTTGTTTAATAAAGTCGACAAAATTCTGGTGAATAATTTTTTTGTTTTTGTTATTTGAGTCAGAGTCTCACTCTTTCACCCAGGCTGGAGTGAACTAGCACACTCATGGCCACTGCAGCCTCGACCTGCTGGGCTCAGGTGATCCTTCCACCTCAGCCTTCCAAATAAGTGGAACAACAGGTGCACACCACTACACCCATGGTTGGAACTACAGGTGTGCACTACCACGCCCAGCTAATTGTTTTTTTTTTTTGTTTCGGAGTCTCACTCTGTCACCCAGACTGGGAGTGCAGTGGCATGCTCACGGCCACCGCAGCCTCAATCTGCTAGGCTCAGGTGGTCCTTCCACCTCAGCCTTCCAAGTAGCTGGGACTATATGTGTGCACCACCACGCCTGACTAATTTTTTGATTTATTGTAGTGATGAGGTCTCGCCAAGTTGCCCAGGCTGTTCTCGAACCAGTAGGCTCAGGCAGGCCCATGACTTCAGCCTCCCAAAGTGCTGGGATTATTAGGCATGAGCCACTGTGCCTGACTAATTTTTTGATTTATTGTAGCGATGAGGCCTCGAACCTGTGGGCTCAGGCAGTCCTCTCACCTTGGCCTCCCAAGGTGCTGGGATTATATGTGTGAGCCACTGTACCCAGCCTGGTGAATAATTACCTGAAAATCACATGCTTCAGTCAGTACAAACAACTTTTATATTACATAATGAAGTTTTATTAAGAATACCACTAACAAGCCAGGCTCGGTGGCTCAGCCTGTAATCCCGCACCTTTGGGAGGCTGAGGTGAGTGGATTGCCCGAGCCCGCAGGTTCGAAACCTGCCTGGGCAGGCGAGACCTCATCTCTACAATAAAATAAAATAAAAAAATTAGCCGGGCATGGTAGCACGTGCCTGTAATTCAGGCTACTCGGAAGGCTGAGGCGGTAGGATTGCCGGAGCCCAGCAGGTCGAGGCTACGGTGGCCAGGAGCAACCACTGCACTCCAGTCTGGGTGACAGAGTGAGACTCCAACTCAAAAAAAAAAAAAAAAAAGAATACCACTAACATATAGTTAATACTACTTAATACTTTTACAGCATATTCTTTTCTAGGTTAAGCAAGAAAAGCTAATAAATATAGGAGTATTTTGATGCAATCTGATTCATCATAGGACTGGACATTTCCCATCTGAGCAGTTGCTGCTGCTCATAGGTTTCTAAGAATTCTATGTAAATATTTTTAATTCCCCACAGCCATTAACAAGCATGGATGATGACTTCAAACATCCCCTTCCATCTCTCAGTAATCTGCCTGTTCTCATGGACTTTGATCTCGTTATCCTACTCTTGATCTCTTGACCATTCTTTAGGCAGTTGGCCTAGTCTCTGCAGACTTCTCTGCTCTGTTATACTTCCTCACCCTCCATTGTAGCAGAAGTTTTGGAATAAGGAAAATAGACTTACTTTTACTCATGGAGTGTTATTATCATCTTAAAATTTACAAACAAGAAAAGGAAAGCATTCTGTTTTGAGGAGTTTACCTTTCCAAAGGAAAAAAGAAAAGACATGCCTAGAGTAGGAAATGTGATATACTATAGTTACCCAAGATATGGGGGATGTTTAGCTTTGAACATTATGTAGTCATATTGTTTCTGGCTTTCTACAAGATACTGTTTCCTGTGTTGTCATCAGTTTTGATCTTGTATAATAATCCTTACTTCATATAGCATAATCAGTACCTGGCATCATAAGCCTGTTCCTGTTGTAACTTATATTTAACTCCTTAAGGTACAGAACTATTTTATGAGTACGAATGTAAAAGAGTAATTTCATTCAGAAATATTGGGGGGAAAATTTTTTTCTGAATTAGGGTCTCGCTCTGTTGCCCATGTTGCAGTGCAGTGGCACAATAATGGCTCTCTGCATCCTCAAACTCCTGAAATCAAGTGATCTTCCTGCCTCAGCTTCCTGAGGAGCTGGGACCACAGGTGTGTGCCACCACACCTGGCTCAATTTTGTATTTTTTTTTTTTTTTGGTAGAGGTAAGATCTCACTGTGTTACCTAAGCTGGTCTCGAACTCCTGGGCTCAAATAATCCTCCTGCCTCAGCCTCCCAAAGTGCTGGGATTATAGGTATGAGCAACCACACCCAGCCTAACATTGTTTACATTCTTTTTTTTTTTTTTTTTGAGTCAGAGTCTTACTGTTACCTAGGCTGTAGTGTAGTGGCATGCTCCCAGCCACCACATCCTCAACCTGCTAGGCTCAGGTGATCTTTCCACCTCAGCCTTCCAAGTAGCTGGAACCACAGACACATGCCACCATGCCCAGCTAATTTTTGTCTTGTTTTGTTTTATTGTGGAGACAAGGTCTTGCCAAGTTGCCCAGGCTGGTCTAGAACCTGTGGGCTCAGGCAGTCCTCTTGCCTCTGCCTCCCAAAGTGCTGGGATTACAGGTGTGAGCCACTGCACCCAGCTCTTAACATTCATTTTAAAGGTTATCAGGATTAGATGAGGATTTCACTATATTGGTGTATATCATATATACATCGTTACTCTATAATCATGAGCCATATAAGAAAATTTCTGTTATCTTGGAACCTTGTATTTAAAAACTGACTCATAATGTGGGAACTAATGGCTAACATGGATTTCTGATAGAAAAGGGAAGGATCTGAAAAATAATGCAATTCTTACTTAAGCAGTACACCCTGATTTATTCAGTGCTTGTTCTGTGGTAGCTATCTATAGGGTTCTAAAATATTCATATGGCTAGATTTTTAAAATGAGAAAAAGAAATAACTCATGGTAGTCCAGAATTCTCAATGGAATGTTCACCATATGTTCCTGTTCTGCTGTTAAATGGGAAAGACAAAGGGCCGGGCGCGATGGTTCATGCCTATAATCCCAGTACTTTGAGAGGCTGAAGTGAGAGGATTGCCTGAGCCCACCAGTATGAGACCTGCCTGGGGAAATTGGTGAGACCTCATCTCTACAATAAATAAATAAATAAAGAATTAGCCACGTGTGGTAGCTTGTGCCTGTAATTCCAGCTACTTGGAAGGCTGAAACTGAAGGATCACCTGAGCCCAGCGGGTCGAGGCTGCAGTGGCCATGAGCCGGCCACTGGCACTCCAGCCTGAGTGAAAGTGACTCCAACTCAAAAAAAAAAAGGAAAAGACAGTAACCAGAGTTTAAGATAATTCAAAAGTAATTTTGTAAATCATTATAAGAATGGGCACAGTGACTCATGCCTATAATCCCAGCACTTTGGGAGACTGAGATGAGGTCTTGCCAAGTTGCCCACGGGTTCAAGACAAGCCTGGGCAACTTGGCAAGACCTCATCTCTACAATAAAACAAAAAATTAGCCGGGCATGGTGGTGCATGCCTGTAGTCCCAGCTACTTGGAAGATTGAGATGGAGGGATCACCTGAGCTCAGCAGGTTGAGGCTGCAGTGGCCATGAGCATGTCACTTGGGCAACACTCCAGCTTGGGCAACAGAGTTGAGACTCTGACTCAAAAAAAAAAAAAAATGTCATAAAATGTTACCATATTACCACACCAACTATTTTCGTTATTGTATATTATTTCATTTTAAGGATTAGCTGGGAGACAGATTTTAACCTCTGATACTAATTTTTAAAATTTAAATTTTTAGTTTTGTAAAGATAGGGTCTTACTATGTTGCTGAGGCGAGGCTGGTTTCGATCTCCTGGGCTCAGGTGATCCTCCCACCTCAGCCTCCCGAGTAACTAGGACTATAGGCGCATACCATCACAGCCTGCTAATTAAAAAAATTTTTTTGCAGCAATGGGGACTAACTGTGTTGCTCAGGCTGGGCTTGAACTTCTGGCTTCATTGATCCTCGCACCTCAACCTGCTGGCATGCTGAGATTATATAGGCACACTCCACCTATTGCTGCTACTTTTAAATTATATTTTATGCAACAATTTGTGTTTGGACATTGGTGTCCTTTCCAGTTTGGATTGTGGCCTGTGGATCTTATCCATTCATGTGTTATTCCACTACATGGTCAATAATGTTAGGAGAAATTATACAACCAACCCTCACAGTAATTGTAATAGCAAAACAATTGCTAGTTTCAAACAATGATAGTTCATTTCTCTCGGGTATCGATCCAATCATAATGAAAAACATTAATTCATTATATATACGTATCTTTTTTTAGAGACAGCATTTTGCTTTCTTGTCCAAGCTGGAGTGGAATGAGTAGCACGATCATAGCTCACTTCAGCTGCAAACTCCTGAGCTCAGGTGATCTTGCCACCTCAGCCTCCTGAGTAGCTTGGACTGTAGGCACACACCACCATGCCTGACTAATTCGCCGTATTTTAACACTAGTTTCTCTTAAGGCATTGACTTTAATTCCCCTATCAGATCACTCACTTTAAACAAAGCCTCAGGCTAGGTGCAGTGGTTCATGCCTATAATCCCAGCACTTTGGGAGGCCAAGGTGAGAGGATTGTCTGAACCCAGGGGTTAGAGACCAGCCTGGGCAACTTGGCAAGACCTCATCACTACAATAAATCTAAACAAAACCTCTGTGGAAACTAGGAGCAGTGGTGTACATCTGTAGTCCCAGCTACTTGGGAGGCTGAGGCAAAATTAAATCTTACTTCTAAAAATAAGCAAAACTGACTTTTCATCTGTGGTTTTGTAGTTTCTTTTTTTGGTATAAAACTTTTATTTAGGAGAAGTAATAGCAGTGTATTAGGACTTTCGTATAACAAGTCTCAACATTACACTGATTTGGATGTGAATCAAATCCCTTAACCACTTGATTAGAACTGTTTTTTTCTTTTTTCTTTTTTGAGTTGGAGTTTTACTCTGTTGCCCAGCCTAGAGTACAGTGGCACGGTCATGGCTCACTGAAGCCTTGACCTCCTGGGCTCAAGCGATCCTTCTGCCTCAGTCTCTTGAGTAGCTGGGACTACAGGTGTGTGCCAGCAGGCCTGGCTAATTTTTTGGGTTTTTTTGTAGAGATGAGGGTCTCACTTTGTTTCTTAGGCTGGTGATCGGAACTGTTTTCTAACATGACTTGTACATCACATGATGCCCACATAGCTCCCAGGTCAGTTAAGATAATGTTAGTCATAAGAAAGCATCTCCTGGTAGGTAACAAACAAACACTAGAATGAATTACTAAAACGCCATCTTCTCTTTTTATGGTGCCCTTTAATAAACTCGCAGTTTCTAAGTTCTTTTTAGCTGTTTAAATTTCATGGAAGGGAAGATGGGGCTTTATTATGAAAAGTGGATCAAGCTGGAGCTGCTCCAAGGAGTAGAGGCCCCTGGGAGCTCCCGCCACTGGACTGGTGCTAACTGGCACTCTTGGGCCTGGGGCGGTGCATGTTTGGTAGCTTTCGCATGGACAGGGTGGCTTCTTGTTTCTGTCCAGGCCAGTGTTGTTCCTGTCTGTGGAATGTGAGGTAGCACTAGATCTTCAAGTGTGCTTTGGAAGCTCAGCTGCAAGCTGAGTATTATCTGGGCAGACAGAAGCATTTAGTTTCTGGCATGCTCTCTGGAAGACTCTGTCCCTGTCCTCCTCAGTCAGTGGGAAGATGTTTATTTTTCCATTTCGGAAGAATTAGTCCATGTGTTTTTTGGGGGGGTTTTGAGTGGGAATCTCACTCTGTTGCCCAGACTGGAGTGAAGTGGCATGCTCACAGCCACTGCAGCCTTGACTTGCTGGGCTCAGGTGATCTTCCTGCCTCAGCCTTCCAAGAAGCTGGAACTACAGGCATGCGCCACCACGTCCAGCTAATTTTTTGCTTTATTGTAGAGACGAGATCTCATCAAGTTGCCCTGGCTGGTCTCGAACCCTTGGACTCAGGCAATCCTCTCACCTCCACCTCCCAAAGTGCTGAGATTACAGATGTGAGCCGCTGTGCCCGGCTATGTCCATGTTTATTTATTTATTTATTAAAAAAATTTTTTTTTTTTTCCTTTTTTGAGTTGGAGTCTCACTCTGTCGCCCAGGCTAGAGTGTAGTGGCACGCTCACGTCACAGCTTGCTAGGCTCAGGCTGTCCTTCTGGCTCAACCTTCCAAGTAGCTAGAACCACAGGCATGTACCACCACACCTGGCTAATTTTTAAATTTTTTTGAAGAGATGAGGTCTTGTCATGTTGCCCAGGCTAGTCTCGAACCCCTGGACTCAGGTACTCCTTTCACCTCAGCCTCTCAAAATGCTGGGATTACAGGCGTGAGCCACCACACCTGGCTATGTCCATGTTTAAAGTGGATTTTTAGTTGGACCTTGATGCTGGTTCAGTACTCTCAGAGCTAAAAGTCTGCAAATCTCCACATGAACTTTTATAATGGTTGGTGTTTCCTAGGAGTAGTAATTTTGGAAATGCAAAGAGCAGTGGATTGGAATTCTTTTTTTTTGAGTGGGAGTCTCACTCTGTCACCCAGGCTGGAGAGCAGTGGCACACTCACAGCCACTGTAGCCTTGACCCGCTGAGCTCAGGGAATCCTTCTGCCTCAGCCCTACAAGTAGCTGGAACTACAGACTCATGCCACCACGCTGGGCTAGTTTTTGTGATTTATTGTATAGACGAGGTCTCACCAAGTTGCCCAGGCTGGTCTCGAACCCCTGGACTTAGGCAGTCATCTCGCCTTGGCCTCCAAAAGTGCTGGGATTTCAGGCTGAGTCACTGCACCCAGCCTGGATTGGAATTCTTACCCAAACGTTTTTATTCCTCAGATAGTTACAGTTGCTCTGCGATGTCCAAGTGGGCGAGTCCTGAGAAGAAGGTTTTTTAAGTCTTGCAGTTCACAGGTAAGTGAGGAAATTCACATTTTGAGAAGTATTTTTGTTGAATATAGCAAGAGTTTATTTGCATGCAGTAGGGGAAGGACAGTGTTGAATAATAACTAAGCTTTTTATCTTATAGGTCTTACATGACTGGATGGTGAGCACTGGGTACCACACGTCCCTCTACAGCCTTTCTACTTCCTTTCCCAGAAGGCCTCTGGAAGTGGAGGGAGGCCAGTCACTGGAGGACATAGGAGTAACGGTGGATACTGTACTCATCATGGAGAAGAAAGAGCAGGGTAACTAAAAGAGGAGTGAAGGCTACCTGTTCTGCATAAAGCCAGTTATGCTGTGACCTTACAGGACAATAAAGGCTTCCCGTAAAAACCATGCCATACTTTGATTGAGCTCAAGGCAGTAAACGCTTTAATGTTGATATCCATGGGAATATATCACCATGAACGATTAGAAAAGGATTGCTCTCTGCATGTAATAATCTGTGGAGTGTGACATCTTATACCAAGTGAGAGCAAGTTAAAAATGTCGACAATAAGGCACTCAGTAATTTTTCCCAGCTGACATCGTTTCTCGGTGTTTTAGAAAATAAAGTCATAGCACTTTGGTTTCTGCCTCTGTCATCCATCCTACCACTCAGTGAATGTTTCACAATCGGTCAAACCCTTCAAAGTCTTATAAGTAGGAACATTTATTCTACTGTATTTCTGTACATTAAAAGCTTTAAAGAAGTTTTAAGTGCTTTAAGGCTTTAAAGTTATTTTTGGTGGGTTTCTATTAGTTAACTAATGTTTACAATTTATATTATTTTGCCTTGTATTAAATTGTAATGTTGAAAAGTTCCAAGTGGATCAATATTTTAAAAAATAAAACTATGAAAACATGAAAACATAGGTGAATTTTTTTTTTCTTTTTTTGAGTTGGAGTCTCACTCTGTCACCCAGACTGGAGTGCAGTGGCTGCTCCTGGCCACCGTAGCCTCGACCTGCTGGGCTCTGGCGATCCTTCCACCTCAGCCTCCGAGTAGCTGGAACTACAGGTGCGCCTGGCTCATTTTTGATTTACTGTAGAGATGAGGTCTCGCTAACTTGCCCAGGTGGGTCTCGAACCCGCGGGCTCAGGCAATCCACTCACCTCAGCCTCCCAAGGCGCTGGGATTACAGGCTGAGCCACCGAGCCTGGCTTCATAGGTGAATTTTTAATAATATATGATTATTTCCTTTTCTTGCTTATAAGCCTGTAATGGTATACTCATGGACTGTATAGTTCAGTACCAAGTTCAAACTCCCAAGTGTGGCCAGGCACGGTGGCTTATGCCGGTAATCCCAACATTTAGGAGGCCAAGGCAAGAGTATCGCCAGAGCCCAGGCGTTTGAGACCAGCCTAGGTGACATAGGATACTATGTCTCTACAGTAAATCAAAAAGTTAGCTGGGCACGGTGGCATGTGTATGTAGTTTCAGCTACCCAGGAGGTTGAGGCAGAAGGATTGCCTGAGCCCAGGAAGTCAAGTCTGCGATGAACCGTGATTGTGGCACTGCACTCCATCCTGGGTGATAGGGTAAGAACTTGACTCAAAACAAAACTTTGTTCACCTGACTCCCCTGAGTATTGCCCTTTATACCTTTTCTGTAGCATTTATTACACTGTATTATACCTATGTTTTTGTTTTCCCAGGAGATAACCCTGAAGGCAAGGTCTGTGTCTTTTTTTCCCTCCAGAAGTACCTATATATAGTTTTAAAAATCACCCATAAAAAAACATCAGCCGGGTGTGGTAGTGCATGCCTGTAATTCCGGCTACTCGGAAGGCTGAGGCGGAAGGATCGTCGGAGCCCAGCAGGTCGAGGCTG